TTTAACAATTGCAAATTATTTCTTCCTATTTTCAAATTCATTTTTATACATATTTTATTATGAATATTTGAAACTTTGTAATGAAAAAACAAATCAAATTATATCGGTGCACCACGCAAGAGCAAATCAATGGTTACAGTTTCAGATTTTCTAACATATCTGTTATTCACTGATCGCGATGAATGCAAAGCAAGTACTTGTTCAAATCATAAGATGTTAAAGGAATTATTATACTGGTTATCCATCACTGATGTAGGGTGTGTCGTCATGATCTTGTGTATAGCTGAGAAATAAAAAAAACACACTAGACTTTGGTTTTTGGATTATATACGAATTTAATAGAACGTGACGACTTAAGTATATCTCTTAATATGGCCTTCAAATGGAAATTTATTGAAATTTTATTCAGATTATAAATATATATGTACTTCAGAGAATAAAAAGTCTACTTTTTACTTAGATGCTGAATTATATGATGCAAATTAAACAACAACGAACGTTTAATCTAGATATTGCTTAGAGTTCCAGTATGAAAATCAGCACATTAGTTAAAAAATGCACTAATTAATAAAACAGAGAAAAACTGTTACAGTGTATTTGCAATTTGTAAGCTAAATACACTTGTTATTTTCAGAAAATGAGTAAAAAGATTTGCTCCTATTTGTTAAGAGATAACGACGACTATTTATTTATGTTAATGGATGTATACAACTGTCAGACTTGTCCGGTGTTACAAATGCCAGTCGACTTGATAAATACCTCGAAATTCCACAGCAATTTGGTTATATTTTATATGTCTGTTCTCCGAAAGGTATATCTTCAGTTAGGTCGAATTTCAAATGTCTTCATATTTCAAAACGTCAGATAGCATAAACAGTTTTCCAGAAGCATACAAAGCAATCCTGTTTTCAATATGACAAAACTTTTCAAATATGACAACAAAAGCTCAAAGTCGAGAAAGTTCACAAAAGTTCATTCTACTTAGATAGTAATGTAAGATTCCATGCTATAATTTCACCAAGTTGTCTACGGCTTAGGAATACTTAATAAACAAAGGCTCATATACAATTCAATATGTTTTATTCCTTTAAAACAAAAGATCAAAATTTTATACTTGAATATTTAATTAATGCTGTAAATGAATAATTTACATCGTGTGCGATAAAAAGATTAAAAAGGTCGGTTCCTCTAGTGCTCATTTTGACCGTACAGATTACCTCTACTGATCTAGAACTAAAAAGCACTTACAAAATAGATATGACGATGAGTATTGTATCTTTTAAGCCATACTGCTTCTTATTTAAAACTTCATTTTTGAACTTTTTGTGCTAGTTTCATGTATTTGAAATATTTTGAAATTCTTGATAAAATTTCGTGTCATAGATTCTTCTACAATGACTTTTTTTTATCTATAGGTAAACTTGCATGGAAAATACATGTTTATGGGCATGCTTACTTCCAAGTACCTAACGCTGTCTCTTTGGGCATGAATGATAATGGTTTTGACTCCAGTTCAATGCATTAAAATAACAGTCACATTTCGTGTGGGTGCAGTGCACTTTTGTTATCAATGACATTCAATATGAAACAACCTTCAATATTGATTGAAAAACATCTCATCTCCTTCAGCCTTATGCAACAATTCATGCACTGTATAATTATAAGTGTTTATTTGACGCGACAACCAATTCAATAAATCTTCCTCAATACAGCCTTGAAACTGCATATCCCACAATGATTTAAAAAGCTTTTTTTTTTTTCAAAAAAAAAAAAAGAATAAATAAAAGAAAATTTTTTTGAATGAGAGTCAGTTAACCTTACCCATGGCTTCACTAAAGTACACGTTGATTCTCTCCAGTTGAAGGTCAGAATCTCCATGGTATATTCCTGTGGGGTCAAGGCCATGCTCATCCGAAATTACCTCCCAAAACTGCATCAGAAGAAACATCCGTTATTGGAAAATATCAACTTCAATTCAGGAAAAAAAACCCGGAAAATATTGAAATAAAGACACAAATAGGTGACAAATGAATTTTTGGTATTGGAAAGGCGTGTTATAGACAGACGATGCATGGCATCTTAATAAAGAAATTACGATATATTTCTGCTTGACTTTGGAGGTTAACATTATAAGAAATACCGGTTTCCATCTGAATGTTAGCTTCTAGTAATTTCATTTCCTTTTTTTTGTTTGTTTGTTTTTTTGTTTTTGTTTTTTTGTTTTTTTTTTTTTGGTTGTCCTTCTGTTTCTGTAAGCTGTCTCTTAACATTGCAGAATAATGTTAAAAAGAAAAGAAAGAAACCAAAAACAGATTGTACAATGAGCCAACTTTAGTTTAATTATGGTAATTATGACGTTAAAATATTACACACTTAAATCTTACTTTTTTTGTAAATTGATCACAACGAACTTGCGCTGCCATAAGTAATGTAAATCACATTTTATTTGTGAGAATTTCATTTTCACGTAATTACGCGAGGCCGTCTGCTCGCAAAATATGTCATTCTTGGGTATATTTGTACGAGTTAAGATTAAACACAATGACCAAAACTTCCCTATAAGAGGTCATAACAAAACCAAACTTTCACAAATTCTTTTTTCTCTCCCCTTGAAAGAGTGCATGGCAGACTTTAACTTTACGGGGGGGGGGGGGGGGTTCTCACTTGTAAATACCAAATTACATTCTCGCAAAAATAAGATATCGGACATATTTAGTGATACAATAATGTGCATCTTCGGTTGTAATTTTCACAGTCTGAAAACAGTTTTAATTTCTTTTTTTGTTATTTTCAGCGTGTGAAAATTACACCTGTGAAAATATCAATTTTATTCAACAGATAGTTTAAAGTATTTGGCTGTTAAAAATGTAATAAATTGCATAAGTTAGCATAAAGAAATCCACACCTCCTCTAAGGGTGAAACATGTAATTGATACTGATAACTTAAATCATGATGTTTCCTTTTCTTCAGCACTTATTAACTCAAATTTCTTTCCATACATTTAATTTGATAGAACTTTATCTTTAATCTTTTGTAATTAAAGAAACTGTACTAAATAGAGAGAAAAAAATTGTTCCATTGAGCAGAAGCTAATACTTTAGTAGTTGATTTTTGGATATATTTCTCTAAGATACACTTTGAAGTCATAACAAAATTTATAATAAGACTTGTATTTAGACGTAAGACTGAAAATTATACTTCAATATTTTCCTTAACAAAAAAATAAAGTTTTAAAAATATCTAAAGATTTATAGCTATAATTATCCTGGAATTATCTATTCATGTATATTAAAAAAATATTATTTTCCTATCATCAAATATTAATGATGTTCACAAAAAGCATTTTCAAGCTCAACTACATGACTGTCACTATGTACGTATATGTACATGTATATATTTTACATTTTCAACGGTGAAATATTTTTAAAATATCATCTTTATATTGTGAAGAAGTATTTAAATGTTAACACCTCTTGGAGGCGTCTCCGGATTGTGCCTGAAATGGTTGATTGGACGCGACACGTGATAGGACCAGGCATCTCATTCGTATCCCTATATCAGCTGCAAGTATTTAATTACACATGTAGTGATCAACTAATATAAAGTCGCAGAAAGTCCCACACACAAAGGCAGAAGGAGAGAGAGATTACTTTTGTGCGTGTGAGAGAAGAAAGTTACATTATGTAATCACATACAGTCTACTAAGCGTCGAAATATTTTTGTAATGATCCTCCTTAGCACGTGGTGCTCATCTATTATACCGTTAGCACATGCAGTTGCAATATGAGATATTCTCAATCCGTTTTTAGAACTCTACAAGTGGTTCTAATTTTTTTCGGGGTAAAAAGAGTGAACCTTAAACGTAGTCTAACCTTAGATCCAATCTGGTTCCCACACTGACCGACCTGTACGTGGACAATTTCTCTCATGGTAATGCTGTCGTCTGCAGCAGAGATGGTGGAGTGATGGCGAGGATGATGAATGCTGGAATCTGTCCAGCTCTCCCTCCAGTTTCCCCTCTGACGGATGTAAAGTAGCTCACAACAACACAACTGTCGACTTGTTTTCACTTGATGTTGTAGTCATTATACACGTGTGCATGCCTGCAGTCAGAACAATGTAACAATGGACGAACATCATAAAATAAAGAGCAGGTTAATGGATTGAGTACTTATATATACAATATATACACTGTACTTATAGTACGGTATGGTAACTAAAATGTACAATTTCAACTTATTCACCAAGCATGCCTGTAAGTAGCATATGATAGACAACTCTAAATTTTAACAGGAACTCTATTGAACATTGTGATTTTCATCCAAAAATTTTACAGATAAAGATTCGAAAATCTTTGACGCAAGAATATTTATATGAACTTCTGAAAGATGTTAACGTGTAAATTCAAATGCATAGAAGAAAATACATTTAAGAATATGAACTTGCATGTGAATAATTTTAATGCATATGTAATTGCATTTTTTTAATGTTCAAAGACATGCAGAGGTCATGAAGGCACGTAACATCCATGTTCTTGTATGCAATTAAATAAATTAAAAAGTCCTAACTAGACTGAATAACAAATTTTCCTGCAAAAAACATAATTATAAATCAAAATTAAAGTAAATCACATATACGTTTTTCGATGGTTCATGATTGACAAATTGTCCTTTGAAGAAACATCCACCAGTATCAAATGCTTAGCAATATAAAACAAGTAATGCATGGACACGATTACATGAAAAAAAAAAGAATAAATAACAAGCAGAATTTAGGAATAAAAAAAATCTTCCTTCGTCGAAGGAAAGACGCAATGAAAGGCAACGGGATATGCCGTCATTTGCAATTGGACTTTTTTATTCGCATAATTAATTTAAAATCTTAATTTTATTTAGTAAAAACAATACTTACAATATATACTCTGTCATAAAAGTGTCGTAACTACAATATCAGATCTCCAAAACATGTATCTATTGAAAGTTTACAAGCCTACATAACATACACCACACCAGAACCTATGTTGTTTGATCGGAGTGACCGTTCGCTGACATGTTGTACCGGTCATTTGTGTCCAGGGCGTGTGGTCAGACCGGACAATGCATTATCCCGGCCAACATGTAACACGACTTTTCACTCCTGTGGTAAGACTTCCACCAGAGCGAAGACATATCTATAATTAACGTATTGCTGCAAAAATATACAAAACGGATCAAATGATTATAGGAAGTCTTAAGTGACTTATTGTACACGAAAATATTTACACACGATGACATCTGAAATTATTTACCTGATATTTATATTTATAACATTATCTGAAGGTAAGTTATTTAATCAGTGGTACAATATTCTTTTCACAGTTTAAAATGTTTGAGGTTTTTCATATTAAAAAAGATAATTTGGTAGACATATTTTTTATTTTTTTTCAAGGAGGAGAGATTTTGACAACTTGTGATTTGGTAGGGTTGAATTTATGCGCCTGGAAACTTGGACAGAATATCAGCCGGGAATATAATGGAGAATTATCCGCAATGCCATCCCCAGAACAGGTAGCCCTACTCTGCAGGTAAATTTTATTTACAGCAAATATAGTTAAAATCGCAAATTAAGAATCTAATTATAAGTAAATTGGTTCTTCAATCTGCTCTTTGTTAAAGAATTATTAAATCAATGTTTAAAAGTGAGAAAACTCATCAAAATGCTTAAATTGCAGGATTTTTAAAAACCGTTTTGGACAAGAAATGTACCTCGGTAAACATTATATTTAAAGGATATTATTTTTAAATTTTAGAATGTGTAAGTATAAACTTCCAATCAAAACTGGTTAATGGAATAATATAGAGAGACATTTAAAAATATGTCTTTTATGAGATAGAAACTCTTTAGGCGGAGAATTCCACTAGTGGAGTGTCCGATTTTATCTACATTTCGTAGAAACTTATTGATAAGAAATATTGTGCTAATGTAAATACGCACAAATTTTAGATTCTTATGCCTACCACAAATGTTGAATCATTAAAAACCTGTCTGCGTTTGTTAAAAAAAACGGTCTGTTTTACAAAAAATCCTATTTTACTACATACTAGTACTCTTTCTTACTTCAACTTGTATTTTGTGTATATGTAATATAGATAAACAAACTAAAAATATATGTCCATGGGTCATGATTTACACGAATATGTTCATGGGACACGAAGTGAGTAAAGTCCTGGGTTTAGAATTAAGATTAAGGTCAGAATCTTATGCCATAGTTGAAAAACCCTAACCAGTTTATATTAGTTCATGAAATTTTATGAGAAAATCTTGAATAATTTCTTTAAAACTAATAAGTTTTATAGACAATAAAGAGTAAAGTCAAATGATAAGGAAAATCAAGGTAAAAAAAAAATGGACACGGTTGATATGTTCTCACCAAAATATATCAATGCATGTGTTTAGATAAAAATATCTTAAATATTTTCTTTGAAAATGAGCTAAAAGCAAGTTTATGAAAAGTAAGGTCAAGGTCAAAGGGAAGGTTTAGGTCAAAATTTTTTGATGCAGTTGAATACCGTTCAATAATGTGTATCAGCATATGAAGTTTGATAATATCTTGAAAAATTTCTTTGAAACTGAGCTAAACACAATTTTAAGAAAAGTGAGCTTAAGTTCTAAAGGAAGGTCAAGGTCTCCGATGTTTGAGTTTCTGATTGACAATATCTATATGATTTTTGGAAACAAGGTCTTCAACAATCTATTGGAATTCCCATGGGTACTAATTAAGTCCCGTTATTAGCAGACCTATTTTTGTATTCGTATGAAGCAGAATTTGTTCAAAACCTTATACGTGAAAAAAAAAAGAAAACACTTGCTGTGGCTTTCAGGCTTTCAACTCGACATTTAGATATATCGACGACGTATTGTTAATTAACAATGGCTATTTCCATTCTTATGTCGATTCGATATATCCCGGTGAGCTTGAAATAAATAATACCACAGAGTCTGACATATCTGTTTCACATTTGGATATTTTACTAGAAAAAGACGTTAATGGTAATCTAACAACAAAGTTTATGATAAACGTGATGACTTTAACTTTTCAATCGTCAGCTTCCCTTACTTAGGCAGCAATATACCTTTATCACCTGCATACGGGGTTTATATCTCTCAGTTGATTCGATACGCAAGAGCATGCTCTACGTATGTCCAATTTCTAAAACGAGGTAGGTTATTGACAAACAAGTTGTTGAAACAAGAACATCAGCAGTCTCGTTTAAAGTCATTATTTCGTAAGTTCTATTGTCGATACAATGACCTTGTCAGCAAATACAATTTGTCAAATGCTGACTGACGTTTTTCATATTAATTGTTAGGCCATTAGTTACACACTGAATTGTCGACGGATTTTTCCGTTATTTCCCGATCATGACAAGGAGCACACGGCGGGTGTGAACGGTCGGCAGGGGATGCTCACTCCTCCATGGCACCTGATCCTACCTCTGATGTTTTAGAGGTCCGTGTTTGCTCTGCTCCAAAAGTTGTATTGTTTAATGGACTTTTGAGCTTGAATACTGTTCGTTATTACCATATATATTTCATATGTATGCTGTATATCCTTACAAGCGCACTTGCTTGCATAGTGAAATAGCTGTAAATGCCATTCAAGGTCATCAATTCATATCTTTAATAAAATGCTTTCCGGATGATAACTTTAGTTCTCTTGGAGCTTTTGCAATGAAATTTTGAATCATAACTCTCTGTAACTGAAAATGACCCCTATTGCTTTTAAGGTCAAGGTCATAAATGTATATATTACACTTTCATGTTAATTATTTGAATTTGATTCGTCGAGAAACACAGCTACCCTCAGAATGATGTAATCACGCCCTCCAGCGTGATAGAACTTAGCAGCAATCAACAATGCTTGACGGCAAGTGATATTCCAAAAAGATATTGACTAATGGAATCTATGCGCGCGCTTCACTGTATAGAACATTCAGTATAATGTAATAAATAGGGTAACATTTCAGTGTTACCCTCAACTACATACAGTATTTATATGATATTATATAAAATGGATTCCAGATATAACTCGAGGTATTTGAACCTTTGCAATGAAACTCTATATTTTTAACTCCCTAAAGTGACAAGACCTCTAATGATTCTAATGTCGAAAGATTTAAGCACAAGGTCATTAATTCATATATTGATTTTAACTCTCTAAAGTGAAAAAAAGAACTCTAATGATTCTAGTTTCAAAAGATTTAAGCACAGGGCCATTCATTCATATATTGATTTATATGGTTTCCAGATGGTTATAACTGTTTTTCTTTAACATTTTGTAGTGAAACTTAAGATGGAGACTTCCTATAACTTTTAAAAGACTTCTTTTAAATGAGACCAAAAGATGAAAGATCAAGGCCAATCTTTCTATTCTTCCGCTCATTTATTATATCCTAAAGCGGAGCCGGTGTAAAAACGAGTTATTTTAAGTCCCATTCCAGATTTTTGCACTCATATAGAGACGTCACCATTTACCGATGAAGGGCTTCAAATTTAGACCTATTCTCGGCAAGCAGGGCTAGAGCAGTGAGGGTTCTTTATCGTGCTAACGCGTACCGAGACTGTTTAAGATCACGTCCGAAAGATCTGTGGCTTTCACGTCTAATGCCGGGCGTTTTGCGAAGAAACAGTCACTATCTATGTTTGTATGTTTCCAACTAGATTAGGCAGCGGTGTGGTGTACATTATCACATTTTAAAAAGTTGAAAACTGTACTGGTCCCAGTTGTCAAAGCAGGTAGCAACGTTATCTTTGTTTGTAAGTCTCATTATTTCAATTGTATTTTACATCAACTGGTATTTAATTCTGCAATTGGTAATTTAACATACTAGCTCATAGCTCCCTTTCTAAGGAGGAAATTTTTCAAATGCATGTCAGTTTAAAATATTTTTAATATTCCCAACAATAAAAATGAATGATGATACTTAAAAACTCTAAGAAACTTTTAGAAAATTTGAAATCAAAAATTTTTTTACCAAAAGTAATAACATCAAAACGTACGACTTTTCAACTGTTTATACAACCATTCCCCACGATAACGTAAAGTCCATGTTTTTTGACATCAAAGCTTTTTATATAAAAATGGAACTCGTAAATTTACTTACCTTGTCATTCGTCACTTGCAAAATCATTTTGTTTAAAAACATTCTGATTGTACACACGAGTATTCCGACGTTGACATTAAAAAAAAGATGCTTAAGTTTCTAATTGACAATAAATAGGAATACATAGAAAAAATCTTTTAAAATCTTCTTCTCAAGAAAGCAAAGCCATGAATAGTCAGATTTATATGGAAGTATCCCCAGGTAGTGTAGATTCAAATTTGTTCAAATCATGGCCCCTAGGGTAGGGTGGGGTCATGGTATGTGATCAAAATTTTACACAAGAATACATAGGGAAAAATCTGCTGAGGAAGAACAGCAGGGCCATAATGACTCAGGTGAGCGTTGTGGCCCATGGGAATCTTGTTATGCATTAATTATGAGCTGATAACATTTGTCATCCTTACGTGCACGGCCACCACTTATTCTGAAATTTTGACACATATTAGAAAATAACATTCATTTTTAACCAAGAAGATTCTTTTTCAATCACAACATCAAAAATTAATTATTTTTCATAACTTTTGAAGATTCAGGCCCGAGTACAAGTTGTGTTATCAGGGGAAGCTAGCGGCGTGCAGTCTCAATCTAGTTTACCTAGCTACCCTGGGGACTACCCAAACCACCGCCGACTTCCTCTGTGGGGAGGGATACAGAGGTAGGGCATAATTATGACAGAACAAAAAAAAATTATTTTACACTAAATCTTTAATTTATTGTAAATCAATTAGATATGACTGTCTCACCTTACTGGTAGTTATTCTTACCTATGGCAGATTTAGGGGGGTGAGGCACCTGATGAAAATAATGTAACTGGCAGCCCCTGCATCCTTTCGTACAACGTTGATAAGTTTAATCTGGAAAAGAAACATTCCATTTTAAGATTGTTTATTTTAGATAATTTATATTTCATATAAAAAAAGCACACGTCTTTTGTGATAAATTGTTATCCTCAACCCTTCATCTCTGTACATCTCTATGCATATGTAACTTAATCATGTATTAGAAAGGCGCTCAATAAAATTCATGTGCTTTTCAAATAGTTAATTGTTGCAGTTCCATGTTATCTTTTTTTTTTAATTTTCTCAAAGATCTCATGCGACATAACGCATGCTGGGAAAAACCATTGGTTCTTAATACGACCAACCAGTGCAACAAAGACTACGCAACCAGTGCACAAAGTCTCCTGAACAAGAACAAAAATCCCGAAATGTCAAGTGCAGAAACAGAAACGTGGTGCAGGTGCATTTCTGATCAACTGCTCACTTTATCTTAATCAGCAAGTTTGTTTTTATACAAATTAATGACTTTAGCCCTTTCACTTCAAAGAATACCACGACATTCATACATGTACTTGTTATAGTATTGTGATCTTAATTGATGTATCACGGACACTCTTTATCTTAAATAGTTGATAAAAATAACACATCTTAATCTTTTGTAATAAATAGATGTTATATTTTCATTTATGATATAATTTGGGGAATCTGAGTACCTCTTTAATGTCTGTAAATCTCAAACCCACGTGATTCTGTTTTGTCTCCATGCAGCATTATAAACACCTCTAACACCTGTATGTATGACACCGTCCTGGAGAACTGTGACGTGGACGCTGCCACATTTGTCCTGAAGATGATGCAAAAGGCGATGACAAAATTAGTGTCCTTTCTCAAATGCCAAGGTGACATTTAGTTCGAGATGTTTTTAAAAAATACAATTGCACTTGACCTCTGATGTCAGAATAAATATTCCTGGAAATGATAAATGTGTTTAATTTTTGCAGGAGTTGAGAGTTTTCATAATATCTCGGATTTATCAAGCGTCGATGGACAAAGTCCGTCATCCCCTGAGACAATGACCAACATTTCTAACCTGAATGTCCCCGGGGAAATACAACTTGGATATGATAATAATGGTGCAAGAATATCATCTTTAACTTTGACAGGAAAAATTATCACTATTATGCTGATAATAAACTTCTGTTTGTGTAATATAAGATATTTGTTTTGAAATAATAAAAATATTCTTAATCAAGTATCTGAATTTATTGACAGCTGGTTGTCACATTGATAAGCTGAGAACGACCACGGGGACATGTGAACATTTATCATGTTGTAAATTTTGAATTTACTAGGGGGAGGTAAATGTAAAATTTACAACATGATAGTTATCATGTTGCAAATTTTGCATTTACCTCCCCCTAGTAAATTCAAAATTTACAACATGATACATTGCCGAAATATTTTGGTGGGAACCGCATTGTTTGCTATATATTGTTCCGATCACACCAATATAATTTTCATATTAGGTACTGCAAATCATACAATCATACATATTCTGAGAACAATCTTATAAATGTATAAACAGTCTATAGATTTTATTTATATCCTCTGCAAAAGAATGTTCACTTAATTGCGTCATTGTATACTGCATGTTCATATTGTTGCCTTACCCTCAAATTAAACAGTATTCTTAAAAAGCTCCCTTCAATCCTGAGGTGACCTGAATGTTACAGATAAAAGCAATACAGGACAGGCATCTGAAAGGAAGAAAATTACTATGACCTTCTTCTTATTTAAAAAAAAAAACGTACACACAAAGATATTTCAACTGAACTATAGATGACTAAGGTAAAGATAACGAACTGTGATCCATCTCACAAATCCTGTTAACAGTAAGGAAAGACAAGGACCTCTGGAAACATTAGAGGAGGTATCAGTGCTGAGGAGGAGTAGGCATCCCCTGTCGACCAGTTAGCCCCATTCGCAAGCCCTCTATATTGGTCACAAAAACAAGTAGTCAAAATTGGTCTAACTGTGGGTGTGAAACATGTCAGTCAAGATACGATCCAAAGATAGGTTGTATTAATTTGTATAAATTTGCAAACAAGGTCATTATAACAGTCATAGAATTTGCAAAATGCTGACTTTAAACGAGATTGAAGAAAGCCCTGTAACATCAACTTACTTGTCCGTAGCCCGTCTCGGTTTCTAATGTGGAAGTTTTTGAAAAAAAAAAATGTGGTTCATTAAAAAAAAGTGTGTATAGAATCAGAATGATTTTTAACAAAGAAATTTCGTAGATGACCCAGAGGGGCTTGTCACGATCCATTTCGACCATCCCTATACTGAAGGGGTGATCAAAATGTAAGAAGAAAAATAGACCGTTGCAAGCCCCTGTGCCTGGTCTTAAATTTCTCGTAAGATATGGTTGTATAAAGTGTTAAAATATGTCATACGTCTTGACGTGATGACCTGTAATAGAAAACATGTCTTTTTCTTTGTTTTTCCTAAATGTCATCAGGTTTAAAGCTCGGGTTCGGGCTTCAGCAGTTACAAAATGAAAGTGTAACGTCACGGAGACGGTCGTTTTCAATATGAATATCAGACGACGATAATAATGTCATGAATCTATCAAGTAGTATTAAACGAGTTCACTTTCACAATAGTCTTAGAAGGCAAATAAGTGTGATGACTTCAACGCCGAAATACCAAGCCTTACATGATCCAGAGAAAAAAGAATTTTTCATTCAACTCAAAGGTCAGTCAGTTCAGTGCCTAGATTCAGTTTCGTTAAAGGGTTCAGTGAAAGCCCCAAACAGTCTAGAAGGAAGTCTTTAAAAAGCCTTTTTAATCTTATAACATATAAAAATGTGTAACCCAATAATATTGTTCCAACCTTGGTCCCTTGAGGTCATGAATTGAGCATACATGAAACTTCATTATCTCGGGTTAGAATCTTCACTGGATACATAAATGTAAATATGCTTGCATTTGAATTAAACAAATCTCCCATTAATCCGCCTCTGACACTGATCCCTGCACATGTCACAATATAAAAGCGGCTGTTACCATCAGAGGAATCTTGGATTAATCCCCCAAAACATTGAAGCTCATGCTTCAATCTATTACTGTAATTAATTAACTATCGATTTCACAAGTTTTTTCCTCGTTATGTTTTATTGGGATTCTACAAAACATGAGCATGTCGCATATTTATTTGTCAATGAAAACTTTAGTCATAATCAGTGAAAATGTTCTTAACGAAATTTCTTTTTTCAACATGTTTTCTGTGTTGGATTATGACCCTGGTTTTAGCCTTGACCATAAGCCAAATTGAAGACTTATATTTGAGTTGGATTGCAAATAACCTTGTACACTACATGAATTATATGATGGTTTATTATTAATTTGATTATTTATTACCTTTTAGAAACAAGTGATTTTTGAAAAATACATGTATATACATGTTTATTTCCCCCCTTCCCCTCCTTGAGGGCTTAAATACATTTGAACAAGTTTGAATCAACATGATCAGATGCTGCATAAAGGATCATTCTCTACAAGGCCGTTTCGCGGCCTACAATGACTTCAAATTTTCAAATAGTATTTTTTCCCTTAAAAACTGCATGAGTCAGTAGGCTAATGTTCCAATTTAATGATAAATGTTGATTGGTTAATGATACAAAAGTATTTGTTATGATATAGGGTCACAAAGTAAGATACTATCGGTCCGTATTAGCATTAGGGTAATGGGAAAACTCAAGAGGGTTGGTGTGTTAGGTAACTCCTACACATGTCATAACCACCTTTAACCAACACCAAAATTTGCATGTAAACTTCTTATGAACATAAAAAGTGACTACCAAATTATCAACTTGGTTAAAGGTGGTTATGACATGTAAATAAAAACTTTTCGCTTCATTTTTACGATATTTGCAGGAAAAGCTAACTACTCACAGTGAAGGATATCAGCTTATGTAGATTATTTTTCATTATAAAATTTCACTTAGAGTACATGTTTCTATTGATTTACTAAGAATTAATATAAGCCATGCATGTTTACTCAAAAAACTAAACTTTTTACATAAAAAATCTAAAATCAAAGGACAGAAATGACTGGTTGTTATGAAATTACGTGAAGACAAGTCTCATTGAACTATCTGCTAGAAATAAAGAAATTTTTTTATAGACTATAAGGCATGAATATAAGTTACTTATTATAATTATTATTATTTATAAGGATAGTTTAGTTTATCTATGCTACTTCTTTGTATTTGCATTTCCTTAGGAGTACTGCATATTTGTTACATGTATTAGTTCTAGAAATGATAAAAGCTATTTTGTTGTAGCGGGAAGATGCATTTGCTATTTGTGTTATAAACTTAATTTTTCTCTGGGTACACATGTAACTTTTATAGATAGAGAATTACTGATGGGATGGTTTCATAATGGAAATTCTCGCCTCGACCTTTTAGAAGGACACTTTTCCGTATGAGTGACATAGGATCCATGTATTTTGTTAACTGGGTGTTGAGAGGACTCAATCTATTCATCACACTTCTTTGGTAGCATCAATATAAGTTATGAGAACAGTAGCTCTGTCTTAGAAAATAAAACGCCAAGGAGGAAAGGGGTTCCTATATGTCACGTGATTGATAATTGAATGTTGCTTTACATCATTTTAGAATTTTTCACCCAGATAAAGAGATCATCCACTTATGGTGAAGTGTCACAATTTTGATTAATGCATGGTTTCAGTATTGACCAACACCTACTGTGGGACAGGACCTCCTTCTTTAAGATAATATCCAAAAGACCCATGACTTTTACTTTCAATGCTGAGGACTTAGCAAAGGAACTGTCACTACCCGTGTTAAACACCTTAGTTCTTGACGCAGCACGGAAAGAGAATTTAATCCTCAGGTTTCAAGAGTGCGAAAGGAGTGTCATCTCTTACGGTCCATTTTGTACCTGGGATGTTGTAGAACTCTGTTAGTCCATGGATATACTAAAACTTCTGATATGCGTAGTGGAAGGTACTGTTGAAAATCTACTCCATTTTATGGAGTGCTGTGGGGGGGGGGGGGGGGGCTCGACTTTTATACATACATTTGTGTATTATAGTTTACCTGGCATTTTAAATTAAATATATTGTTTTACATGCGTAATTAAATTGAATCAAAGCAACTCTTACGATGTTATTTCATTTTACGTCGATATAAATATTTTTAATACAACCGTTCTGAGTTTTATGTACTGACTATTAACATGTACTTGCATTAATATTTTCATCCTGTAAATTTTTTTTTTTTTTTTTTTTTTTTGCAAAATTTAATGTAGACTATATTTTATAAATTACAACTTAATTTTGATTTAATCACAAACAAAATTCATTCAATGCTTTAAACATTTGATACACAACTTTTATAGGTCAATAGAAACTTAGAAATCTCATTTCTTGCATGGGCATTTTATGCGTAAAATAGGTACCACATCTATAGAAACAATACACAATTACAATATAAACATATATGAAATAATACTTTTAATTAAATGCTAATTAAACATTTTTCAACATCATACGAGGTGCATTTTGTAAAGATTTACATTCAAAATATGCAAAATGTGACTGCATCAAAATTCTTGCCATAAAAAAATATCTTTAGCCTTAAATTAAACAATCTTTGTACTTATTACTTAAGTCTGATATGTTTCCGACATAAATAAACAATTTTTGATCATTTACATCTAGAAACATGCAAAGATACTTGATGTAAATAGACCTACCCTCAATTTTTCTTTACTTGACGGCCGTTTGTGATCTTTAAATCACGCGACTTAGGTGATCGATGTTGAAAAACAAACATCAAAATCATGAAATACAATGATTAAAGTTACATAAAATCACATTTTTAAGTGATTTTATCGTAGGCCGGAAAATGGCCTTATAGAGAATCATCCTTTTACTTAATCATGTCCTCCCACTGTTTTCCAACAAAAAGATTTGATGTTTTTTTTTACTACACTGTTATCACTGTCATATGTAAAACTTTGACCCCTCTTGTAACCCACCCAGGTCCCAAGGCAGATTTAAATCTTAAATAAGTTAGAGAGTATACATTAATTTTTTCTTTTGTAGCTCACTCATGGTTCTTGAAAGCAATTTTAAACATCCTTCCACCATTTTTAATTTGTGAATTATATTCCTTTTGAAGAAAAATGTGGCATTTCATTGAATAAACTTAATTCCCCTTCACCTGGAGTTGATTTGTGTAAAGTTTGTTTTAAACTTGCCCTCTGGTTCTGGAGAAGTTAAAAATGTCAAAGTTAACAAACAAACAGACAGACAATGCACAAACGTCAATCAGAAGCTCTCTGCTCAAGTAAGCTAACAAAAGAGCGTGACTAATCACATTTCAGTATTTTGCACATAAACTTCTTTCCTGAATTTCACTTTATTATTAGCTCACCTGAGCCGAAGGCTCAAGTGAGCTTTTCTGATCAAAATTTGTCCGTTGTCTGTCGTTGTCGTCGGTGTTGTCGTCGTCGTTGTAAACTTTTCACAATTTCATCTTCTTCTCCAGAACTACTGGCCCAATTTCAACCAAACTTGCCACAAAGTATTCTTGGGTGAAGGGGATTCAAGTTTGTTCAAATGAAGGCCACACCCTCTTTCAAGGGGAGATAATAAAGAATTAGTGAAAAATTAATGGCATCTTTTAAAAATCTTCTTCTCAAGAACCAAAGGGCCATGAAAGATGAAACTCATGTGGAAGCATCGTCAGGTAGTGTAGATTCAAGTTTGTTCAAATCATGACCCCTGGGGGTAGGGCGGGGCCACAATGGAGGATCAAAGTTTTACATAGAAATATATAGGAAAAACCTTTAAAAATCTTCTTCTCAAGAACAGCAAAGCCATGATGAGTCATATTTATATGGAAGCATCCTCAGGTAGTGTAAATTCAAGTTTGTTCAAATCATGACCCCCGGGGGAAGGGCGGGGTAACAATGGAGGATCAAAGTTTTTACATAGATATATATAGGAAAAACCTTAAAAAAAATCTTCTCAGGAACAGCAGAGCCATGATGAGTCATATTTATATGGAAGCATCCTCAGGTAGTGTAGATTCAAGTTTATTCAAATCATTACCCCCAGGGGTAGGGCGGGGCCACAATGGAGGATCAAAGTTTTACATAGAAATATATAGGAAAAACCTTTAAAAATCTTCTTCTCAAGAACAGCAAAGCCATGATGAGTCATATTTATATGGAAGCATCCTCAAGTAGTGTAAATTCAAGTTTGTCCAAATCATGACCCCCGGGGGAAGGGCGGGGCCACAATGGAGGATCAAAGTTTTTACATAGATATATATAGGAAAAACCTTAAAAAAATCTTCTCAGGAACAGCAGAGCCGTGATGAGTCATATTTATATGGCCGCATCCTCAGGTAGTGTAGATTCAAGTTTATTCAAATCATTACCCCCAGGGGTAGGGCGGGGCCACAATGGAGGATCAAAGTTTTACATAGAAATATATAGGAAAAACCTTTAAAAATCTTCTTCTCAAGAACAGCAAAGCCATGATGAGTCATATTTATATGAAAGCATCCTCAGGTAGTGTAAATTCAAGTTTGTTCAAATCATGACCCCTGGGGGAAGGGCGGGGTCACAATGGAGGATCAAAGTTTTTACATAGATATATATAGGTAAAACCTTAAAAAAATCTTCTCAGGAACAGCAGAGCCATGATGAGTCATATTTATATTGCAGCATCCTCAGGTAGTGTAGATTCAAGTTTATTCAAATCATTACCCCCAGGGGTAGGGCGGGGCCACAATGGAGGATCAAAGTTTTACATAGAAATATATAGGAAAAATCTTTAAAAATCTTCTTCTCAGAAACAGCAAAGCCCTGATTGATCATATTTTATATGGAAGCATCCTCAGGTAGTGTAGATTCTATTTTGATCAAATCATGACCCCGGGGGTAGGGTGGGGCCACAATGGAGGATCAAAGTCTTAAATAGAAATATATAGGAAAATTTCTTCTGATGAAGAACTGCAAAGCCATGATTAGTCGTTTTGATATGGAAGCATCCTCAGGTAGTGTAGATTCAAGTTTGTTAAAATGATGACCCCCGGGGATAAGGTCGGGCCACAATGCAGGATCAAAAATTTTACATAAGAACATATAGGAAAAATATTTCTTCTCAAAAACAGAAAAGCTATGTTTAGTCATATTGATATGGAAGCATCCTCAGGTAGTGTAGATTCAAGTTTGTTCAAATGATGACACCTGGGATAGGAAGGAGCCACAATGGGGGATCAAATTTTTACAAAGGAATATAACAGAATTTTTTTTTAAAATCTTCTCAAGTACAACAAAGCCATTTGTTATATTGACATGGAAGCATCATCAGGTAGTTTAAAATTCAATCCCCCCCCCCAAGTAATCTTTTCAACTGATTTGTGCTTTTGCCAAGCCAATGTGCTCAGGTGAGCGATGTGGCCCATGGGCCTCTTGTTTAAATTTTTCATTCATAAGACAATATATATTTGGTCAATGTAACTGACATTGCTTTGTTTTAGGCAGTGATAAAGCCCTCTTGCAGTATGACTACATCACTAAGAGTAAGGTAGAACTTTACCATACTGGGGTGCCTACTTCTTACAGAGGTCATGGAATTGCTGGCATTTTAGCAGAGGTAAGAATTATACATATACAATATACCACCAGAAAGAGTAATTAATCTGTCATTGGAAGATCAACTTAGAATGACATCATACACACAACTATAACTAAAGCTTAAAACACAACTATTGTTTTGCAGAAGGTGTTTATACAAGTTTTTTTTTTCCAGACAGCCATTAAATATTTCAAAGAGAATGGAATGGAAATGGAGTTGACATGCTCTTACCTTCAGCATTACGTCTCAAAACATCCGTCTACATGATCAACAGGAAACAACTTTGAATTAATTGCAATCTAGAAAAATTATAACAATTGTCCAAGTATAGATTATTATTGTATATATTCCAGATTTAGATGTACATGTATATCCTCCATACTGACCAGTCAGTGTCAGTCTGCAATGAAAAAGTGGGTATCATGACAAGAAACTTAATGGATATGACATGAACTTTAAAAATTGTTGAATTTGAAAGTGATTATAACTATGTAACTTGATTATAATGTGATTGACATTTTAAATGTTCATACATTTAAAACTTGACTTATCTTAGAGTGATTGTAACTGTATGTAACTTGATTATAATGTGATTGACATTTTAAATGTTCATATATTTAAAACTTGACTTATCTTAGAGTGATTGTAACTGTATGTAACTTGATTATTATGTGATTGACTTTTTAAATGTTAACATATATTACATAAATTTTTAAAAGAAGACATTAATATTTGTTCACTTTTTTTTAGCAATCATAGTTCATTTTATGTTAAATAGTGGCTCTCAAGGCCTATAATTTCAAAAACCAGTGCTAATTGTGATGTGGTTAGTTCATTAAACATCCTCTGAATTCTATAGGTGGGTGAGTGGTGGTGGTGGTGGTGCAAGGGATAGGATTGAACTAACAGTGCACAAAAAGTACTTTGACCTCTATTACGGGGTGCACTTTGCTTAATTTGATGTTAGCATGTGGCTTTTTAGGTCACCTGAGTCACTCAGGTGACCTATTGCTATCCTTTTTTGTCCGTCATCGTGCGATGTGCGTTAACATTTGAACATTTTTAGCTCCTTCTCTGAAACCGCTCAACCAATTTCAACCGAATTTGGCATATAGCATCTATGGGTGAAGGGGAACAAAAATTGTGAATTTCATGGTCCCTGCCCCCCTGGGGCCTGAGGGGTGGGGCTAAAACCACCAAAATTAATGCAATCTTTAAAATCTTCTTCTTTACTCCTGGACATCAAGAAGTCAAACTGTTGGCATCATTGTAATAAACATTGAGTCCTCTACGAAAATTGTGAAATTCATGGCCCCAGGGTCTGGGATTCTGGTGTTAGGGTGGGGCTCTATTGATTATATAGTGAAAATGCATTAATTCTTTGAAAATCTTCTTCTCTGCTCCTGGGTATTAAATAAACTAACTAAGTATATAGTTATGATGAGTAAGAGTGCTTCTTCCAAAATTGTGAAATTCATGGCCCCAGGGGCAGGGGTTCTGGTGTTAGGGCGGGGCTCTATTGATTATATAGTGAAAGTGCATTAATTCATTGAAAATCTTCTTCTCTGCTCCTGGGTATTAAATTCAGTAACTAAGTACATAGTTATGATGAGCAAGAGCGCCTCTTCCAAAATTGTGAATTTCATGGCCCCAGTGGCAGGGGTTCTGGTGTTAGGGCTGGGCTCTATTGATTATATAGTGAAAATGCATTAATTCATTGAAAATCTTCTTCTCTGCTCCTGGGTATTACATAAACTAACTAAGTACATAGTTATGATGAGCAATAGTGCCTCTTCCAATATTGTGAATTTCATGGCCCCAGGGTCAGGTGTTCTGGTGTTAGGGTGGGGCTCTATTGATTATATAGTGAAAATGCATTAATTCTTCGAAAGTCTTCTTCTCTACTCCTGGGTATTATTGAAACACATTAAATACATAGTTATGATAATCAAGGATGCCTCTTCCAAAATTGTGAAATTCGTGGCCCCTGGATCGGGGTTCTGGTGTTAGGGCGGGGCTCTATTGATTATAAAGTGAAAATGTTTTAATTCTTTAAAAATCTTTTTCTCTGAACCTGGGTATTATTTAAACAAACTAAGTACCTTTGTTATGATAAGCAAGGATGCCTCTTCCAAAATTATGAAATTCATGGCCCCGAGGACGAGTTCTGGTGCTAGGGCGGGGCTATATAGATCCTATAGTGAAGGTGAATTATTTCTTTGAAAATCTACTTCTCTGCCCCTGGGTATTGTTTAAACAGACTAAGTACATTGTTTTGATACGCAAGGATGCCTCTTCCAAAATTGTGATTTTTAAATTTTATGACCCAAGGTTTAAGGGTTCTGGTGAAGGGGGGGGGGGGGGGGGCTTCTATTGATTATAAAGTGAAAAAGCAAAATTTCTTTGAAAATATTCTTTTCTGCTTCTGGTTAAAAAAGCAAAGAAGCTAAGTGTATAGTTATGATGAGCAAGAATGCTTCTTTCAGAGTAGTGAATTTCATGACCCCTGGGTCAGATGTGCTGGTGTGAGGATGGGGCTCTTGATAATATAGTGAAATGCATTAATTCTATTAAATAATCCTGTTTGCTCCTTAGTGTTAAGCAGATAAACAAAGTGATTAGTTATGATGAGCAAACTTATGGTTCCAGGGTCAGAAGCTCTGGTGTTTTTTTTTTTTTGGGGGGGGGGGGGGGGCTCTATTGATAATATAGTGAATCTGTAGTAAAAATGCATTATTTCTTTAAAAATCTTCTCCGCACCTGCGCATATCTGAGGCAAATAGAGTAAAAGTAATAGTGTATATTCTACTGAGAGGAGTTATTCCCCTTTGCCATTTACTTTTGATAATTTATCACTGTAAACAATGTACTTGAAAGGTAAATAGAATAAGAGAATTATGCAAAAACTTTTATTGTATATTACAACAAGAGGCCCATGGGCCACATCGCTCACCTGAGCACATTGGCAAGGCAAAAGTACAAATCAGTTCAGTATTGAAAGATTTGTTTTAACAAATGGCTTTGTTGTACTTGAGAAGATTTTTAAAAAAAATTCCCATATATTCCTCTGTAAAAATTTGATCCCCCATTGTGGCTCCTCCCTATCCCTGGGGTCATCATTTGAACAAACTTGAACCTACACTACCTGAGGATGCTTCCATATCAATATGACTAAACAAAGCTTTTCTGTTCTTGAGAAGAAATTTTTTCTATATGTTCCTATGTAAAACTTTCGATCCCCTTATTGGGCCCCACCCTACCATCGGGGGTCATCATTTCAACAAAATTGAATTTACACTACCTGAGGATGCTTCCATATCAAAATGACTAAACATGATTTTCAGTTCTTGAGAAGAAGATATTTTCCTATATGTTCCTATGTAAAATTTTCGATCCCCCATTATGGCCCATCCCTATCCCCGGGGGTCATCATTTTAACAAACTTGAATCTACACTACCTGAGGATGCTTCCATATCAAAATGACTAATCATGGCTTTGCAGTTCTTCATCAGAACATATCTTCCTATATATTTCTATTTCAGACTTTTATCCTCCATTGTGGCCCCACCCTACCCCAGTGGGTCATGATTTGAACAAACTTGAATCTACACTACCTGAGGATACTTCCACATAAATATGATCAATCAGGGCTTTGCTGTTCCTGAGAAGAAGATATTTAAAGATTTTTCCTATATATTTCTATGTAAAACTTTGATCCTCCATTGTGGCCCCGCCCTACCCCCGGGGGTCATGATTTGAACAAACTTGAATCTACACTACCTGAGGATACTTCCACATAAATATAACTCATCATGGCTTTGCTGTTCTTGAGAAGAAGATTTTTAAAGGTTTTTCCTATATATTTCTATGTAAAACTTTGATCCTCCACTGTGGCCCCGCCCTACCCCCGGGGGTCATGATTTGAAGAAATTTGAATCTGCACTACCTGAGGATACTTCCACATAAATATGATCAATCAGGGCTTTGCTGTTCCTGAGAAGAAGATTTTTAAAGGTTTTTCCTATATATTTTTATTTAAGACTTTGATCCTCCATTGTGGCCCCGCCCTACCCCCGGGGGGTCATAATTTGAACAAACTTGAATCTACACTACCTGAGGATGCTTTCATATAAATATGACCAATTAGGGCTTTGCTGTTATTGAGAAGAAGATTTTTAAAGATTTTTCCTATATATTTCTATGTAAAACTTTGATCCTCCATTGTGGCCCCGCCCTACCCCCAGGGGTCATGATTTGGACAAATTTGAATCTACACTACCTGAGGATGCTGCAATATAAATATGACCAATTAGGGCTTTACTGTTATTCAGAAGAAGATTTTTAAAGGTTTTTCCTATATATTTCTATGTAAAACTTTGATCCTCCATTGTGGCCTCGCCCTACCCCCGGGGGTCATGATTTGAACAAACTTGAATCTACACTACCTGAGGATGCTTCCATATAAATATGACTTATCATGGCTTTGCTGTTCTTGAGAAGAAGATTTTTAAAGGTTTTTCCTATATATTTCTATATAAAAATTTGATCCTCCACTGTGGCCCCGCCCTACCCCCGGGGGTCATGATATGAACAAACTTGAATCTACACTACCTGAGGATGCTTCCACATGAGTTTCATCTTCCCTGGCTTTGTGGTTCTTGAGAAGAAGATTTTTAAAAGATGCTACTAATTTTTCACTAATTCTTCATTATCTCCCCTTGAAAGAGGGCGTGGCCCTTCATTTGAACAAACTTGAATCCCCTTCATCCAAGGATACTTTGTGGCAAGTTTGGTTGAAATTGGCCCAGTGGTTCTTGAGAAGAAGTCGAAAATGTGAAAAGTTTACAGACAGACAGACAGACAGCCAGACAGACGGACAGACGGACTACAGACAAAATGTGATCAGAAAAGCTCACTTGAGCCTTCGGCTCAGGTGAGCTAAAAAGTACTTTCATTGTTTTAATGATCAGATAGACTTGTAAGTAGTAGATAGAAAAAATGAGACAAAAATAACTTGTCTTATTAAATGTTCATCAAAGACCAAGAGAGGCCAATGTAAGAGATTTCAACAAGGGATTAAAATAGTACAGAAGCATTGATAATTTGTTAATATACTGTATGGTGATAGTGATAAATGGGGAACAGATTAGAACCTAATTTATGAACTGTTAATGAATATTAAGACCAATTATTTTGTTGATCATGATCACCCTATTTTTTTTTCTTTTGGGCAACAAAGTTTCACCTTTCAGTTCATTTTATACTCTATGCATCCTTTAAATTATTGTATCATACTCAGGTGACTGTTAAGGCCCTTGGGCCTCTTGTTTAAAATTATCAGGTTTGGCCTGCCCTCTCTACCAGACAAAGTTTACTTTCACAACCGTAGACTTTTCATTACATCATTACTTAAGTTGGCCATAAGTATCTCAAACACCAATGCAGAGGATATGTTTAATGTACCAGGTATATGAAATGTATGTAAAATATCTGCAGGGATGTCAAAGTGAGCTTACAATAGGGATGCAGGATTTTACTGGTATACCTGTATTTCATGATTTTTTATTGCATGAATTGTATTGTGATTCTGAGACTAGAATACATTTATGAACATTTATAATTACTGGAATATATATATCCAGAAATTATTCATTTATTTGTTCAAACTTAAAATTTACAATTACATAAAGTGTTTATTTAAAATCATAGTAAAAATTGTGTGTTAAAATCACATGACGTTATGGAGAAAAAATCATGATATATCATGATGCCAAATTTTTGGCGATTAACCCATCCCTAGTTCACAAACCAAATCCTAGATTTGATGTCAACAATTCATTCATGGATTTCTCAAAGCTATTATACTACTGTGAAATCGCTAACATTTGTGGGGGTTTTATTTTCATCATTTCCTGGTATGAAGAGACCCAGCCATTTAAAATTCATGACCTTCATGAAATGTTAACTTTCAAATACAAAACGTACTATTCAACCACAAATTCAAATCTCCCCAAACCAGTATTTTTTCCTCTGAACACAAAAATTTTACCCTACTAAAACAAGAGATTTATTTACAGTATTGCATGCATTTTTTTTTACACTAAGTTGAATTGAAAGCATGCATTCAAGATAACCTGTTTCAACAATTATTATGTCCATATCCAGGCACATTTGAAAGTTTGAGCCAATGGAAAGTGTGAAACGTCTGCAGACCCCCTGCTGCATTGGGTTAAATAATTTCTGGCAATTTAGATTCTTTAACCCACAAATTTCTACATGGAAAATGATAAGTTGGAATAGATTTGTAATAATTTACTTTTGTACTGGAGACAAGACAAGAAATAATGAACACATACCTCAATATTTTATGTATCACAGAAACTTGAGCATTCTCTAGATATGTCGTATAAAATTACCAGTTGTTTGAGTACAAGTTGATAAAAATCCAGTCTCAAAAGAAAAATTAATACAACTAAATTATAAAGAAAAATGCAACTTATAATAACCATAAAATATCTTTAATCCATGTGGATTATTTTTAAGCAAAGCTTAAAAAATTGTGATGTAGCAAGGTAAACGTGGATGTTAAATTACATTGGAACAAACTCTGTAGCTAGCATTAAAGAATTGATGAGTTTAAAATTAATCACATTTATTTATACAAGTTATAAAATCTATGATCTCAGTCGCATTAAATGTTTTAAGAATAAATTACTAATAATACATTTTTACATAACTGGTAAATTCATGAAGATCTTTATGTATATAAGATCTGATTTACATGACGTACATATGTACATGTAACTTGTCATACGTATGTACTATGTACCTAGGTAATTATTTTATTGCATATTAGTGGCTTTTCAATCAAATCTGAACAGTACATATAATTAAAAAAAAAATACAATTCATTGTTTAAAATGTAATTATCAGCCATAACTCTATGGATAAATATGGCATCTATTTATAAAACACCAAGTGCTCCATTGTACATAATTACAATACTTTTCTGACCTTATAAATCAAGTTAAGGGAAATAATTCATCAAACATTTCTTTTAACATAAAATATCTTAAATAACTCATCTCATTAAATATTCCATTTTTTATAAAATAAATTAGTACTAACAATAATGAATGTTATAAATATCATTTTGTGGTTTTTGACTTGCTCCAGTGTTCACTATGTTACAATGTGTATTAACACAAACCTTATGTAGACACCTGCACAGTACTATACTGTACTATACTTTAATCTGAATTTAAACTATTTCATAAAAAATCCAACAAAAATTTTAATTCTTTGTGCCCCCTAGAGCAGGGATAGGAAATCACTACATACAATATATTATCAAAAACTGACACATTTAAGTATGATGGTATTACATGTTTACAAAACCTTAAAGTGTGAAAATAAATACATTTGAAATCAGCACTCATGTCATGCGAATTTGATATCTTGTAAATCTTAATAATGACTAAATGAAACAACCTCTCTCCACATTCTCAGTTTTTCAATACACTTGCATGCAGTTGTACTATTTCACAACATTGTATGTTAGCTCCCTAAAGGTGAAGAAAGCTAGGCTGTAGATGCTTATATAAACATATATATAATTTGTACAGGACAATAAAGGAATCACATTAAAATTTGTTCTCAGTGAAGATAAATTACAGCATGAGGCTGAATCTCAATACTTGATTCCTATCAAAGGCTAATTATTGCAAATTCAAGATTCAATTATCAAACCATATGAATGTGCCAGGAAAAAAATATTGAAATAAATTTTCAAAATATTGACTAATTTAACTTCAGAAATTATCAGGAAGTTCCTGCATAAACTTTTCTTGATGTTTCATACTTAAACATCACAGAAAACATATCACCACCGAGTCTATTTGCAAGCCATCGATTTTTTATCACAGCAATCTTCAAGGCTTCACAAGAAAAGCATGCATCAAAGTTTGTGTGGATTGCTCGTCCCATGCCTTCAATGATAATTAAATCTGTGTCCTCTTTATTCATTAGGTCCACCAACTGACAGTCAATTAACCTTGTGGAAAAATTATGGAAATCAGGTTATTTTTGATTTTCTCAGAATTTTTTTTTTTTTACAATTAAGACAAGAAGAAAAATAAATCTCTTTTGTGCATGTACGAAAAAATCTTCAAGGTGATGCTATTCATTGTGGGAAGTTTTTATTATTATTCATCTTACCTCAAATCTAAACATGGTGAGCCTTGTCCTGTTTCCATCACCATCAACTGATTTTCTGAGAGACTTTTATCAATTTGTTCATCAATCTCTGCTACATGTTTGATGAGTACAGAAAGTTCATTGTATATGACATCATTTAAGGCAGGTCGACTATTAGCACAGAGTATCACCTACAGTTAAACATGTCATGTAATAAAACTTCCAGACGCAAAAAAATAAAATTTCACTGACAAAAATATTAAATGAACCTAAAGTCTGAGATTCAGAAATTAATTACCTGCTAATAAACTATAAACTATACAATTTCAAAATTATTGTTAAGTTTCAAAACTATCTAAAATTTGAGATCATCCTTGCATGGTTAAAGAGCAATTAATTTTAATTTAATATCATGATTACTTTAGTTCCTCTAGAGAGTAAGTCTCTAACAAATGGGAAAATCCCGAGAATTATATCTGCTCCACTATTATCAACAAAAATGGCTGCACATTTGTGGGGTTTTCCTTTTACTCGATCCAGCCAAGAATCAAAATCATCAAACAACCAAGGGCGCTCTGAAAGAAAAAGCCAACATGCACCCATACAGTAGAATATTATAAACTGAACATGGTAAATTTAGTATAAACATCACAGATAACTGAGTCTACTCTACGGCCAAAAAAAAAAATTAATAGTTTTTCGGGCATCGCCGCATCAAGTCAAAAACTGCCACATTGATCAAGTTTATTGACATTTTGAATAAGGAAATAACTCAATTTTCTATTTTTCCAAGTTGAAAAAGAAAACAGAGTTTTTCCCCTTTTCAAACATGCTAATAGATAAACGTTTTTATTTGATAAATTAAACAATACATTTCATGTTAATGCCATATTTTATGAATTAACTTTTAAACAAATGTTTGGAATAACAATATTTAAAGTTGAGTACATATTACAATTAATGTAAGAGAATAAAAAAAGCTAGAATCAGTTGATATCATCATTTTGTTGAACGACTGATGTGAAAAAAAGAGAAAACATTTTCCAAAAAAAAAAAAATTGACTGCCACATTGAGTTTTGAAATTATTGGTCTCAGAAACTAGAGGTTAATTCTTGGCCTTAAATCATTTGAAAAGTTCTTTGTCTTCAAAGGAAATTCTGTGAAAAAAAATCCAGGTGTTGGAAAATGAACAGAACTTGGTGAACCTTGAAGTTTATTGGTAGCTTCTTTGAAACCAAAGTTCTGATGTTCCATTATCTGAGTGACCTCCCTTGCTCCCCAGTCAAAGACATTGCCAGCTAGGACTCCCTTTGCTAAAGCTAATTGTCTCTCATCAAAGTCCATCCTGTCAAGCTCCTGCAAATACTGGGCCAAACTTCTCAAACACTGCTCATTTTCCATTTGTTTCAACTGTAAAAATGAAGAGTTTTGTATACAATGTGCACACAGAGTAAGTATAAAATGAACTTAGAGCAAGGGCCATATGTGCAAAAGGAAGTAAAATAACATCATACCTTAAAATAATTTAGTTTAATTATATCAAACATACTTGTAAAAAGAGGTGTTAATCTTAATGTGACAGATAAAGATAAGCCTCTGGACTATCTCCAGCAGGTAAGATAATTAATCACAGGAAACTTATAGCAACTTTCATAGTTTACAAAAGGAATGTTTTCAGCAGTTATCTCTCTTTACCCATTCATTCTGACCCCATTCCAAACCAGATATATTAGTATCAAAATTTTTAACTAACATACAAAATTTTAATGTAATAGGTCGACCATGAACAAAAGGCTCATGGGCCACAATATTCACCTGAGTCACAATGGCCCTGCTGTTCTTCATCATCAGATTTTTTTCTACATATTCCAATGTAAAACTTTGATCTTCTATTGTAGCCCCATCCTACCTCAGGGATCATGATTTCAACAAACTTGAATCTACACTCCCTGAGGATGCTTCAATATAAATATGACCACTCGTGGCTTTGCTTTTCTTGAAAAGAGGATTTTGAAAGGTTTTTCCTGTGCATTCCTATGTAAAACTTTGATTGCCAATTGTTGCCCCATCCTACCCCCCTGGGTCATGATTTGAACAAACTTGAATCTACACTATCTGAGGTTGCTTCCAACTAAGTTTCGAATTTTCTGGGCCAGTGATTTTTGAGAAGATTTTTTAAAGATGCCATTAATTTTTTACTAATTCATAATTATCTCCCCTTGGAAGAAAATGTGGCTCTTTATTTGAACAAATATCAATCCCCTTTACCCAAAGATACTTTGTGGCAAGTTTGGTTGAAATTGGCCCAGTGGTTCTGGAGAAGAAGATGAAATTGTAAAAAGTTAACTACGAAAGACAACGGACAAATTTTGAGTAGAAAAGTTCACTTAAGCCTTTGGCTCAGGTGAGCTAATAAATAGGTTTACCTGCAGATAAGGATCATTGAACATGAATTCTTGGAGGTAGTGACTGCTAGTGTCAAGGAGGCTTCTAACAGTGAGGGAACCATAGGCACTGAAAATATAAAATGCACCATGACTCAGTCCCAACTCAATTTAGAATCAAATGTACATATTTAACACATCCAACACAGACCTATACAAAAGCATGAGCTCTTAAACTATTTCATTCGTAGTATCAGGTTACTTAGTGAAACTAAATGTATTACTGAGTTTATGTGAATAAAATAAATCAGAGGTTGACAAAAGCTGTAAAAACGAGTGTTCCAAATGGTAATTTTAATAAGAATTTAACTTGACACTTAATTAGCATCACATTGATTTGTTTCTTTACCAAGGATTTTCCTTTAGATCGGTCAGTCTCTCAACATATTTGCTTTTAAATTTTTCAGCTCTTTCTTTGGCATCTGGAAGGTTATGCTGACTTTTGATGGCTTGTTCTTTTGTCTGTTGTATAAATTAGTCACTGCTTATGGTAAAATTTTAATTTATATTTACAATCAAATACATAACATCAAGTACACTGCTACATTTCATCTTTAAGGTATGTCATTTGTCAGCTTTTGAAAAAAAAGTTTGGTCAGAACCTCATATATCAAAATTATCAATAACAATTTTATTTATTTGTGATTAACCTAAACATTTTTTTTTTATTTGTGATTAACCTAAACATTACAATTTAAGTGCAAAAAAAGATCAATTTATTTGTAACATTGCTCAGTAAGATGCACACTAACACCCAGTTTTCTTTGTGATTTTGAGCTATGCTATACAAGTAGATAAAATGGAGTAAATATAATATTACTTCTCAAAAAATCCTTGATACAACTTCTGTCAGGAGTGACATACCTTAAGGGCACAGGCTTATATATAAAAAAAAATCATAATTATTGCCCAATATTTTACAAATATCTACATCAAAAGAAGCTTAAAACAATATACCTTATCAACACCTTTCATAAAACATTCAAGCCAATATTCTCTTGCAGCGCCATCTTCTGTCAATTCCACAGTGTCGGGGAGATAACTCTGTTGATCCAGCAACAGAGGACAGGGTAAGAGAGCACGGTCCAACTGATTTAATTCTAGCATCTCAAACTGGAGGGGAAAAAATATTGCTATAGATTTTTACACAGAATATTCTAAATCTGCAGGCACTTGGCAATTTCTAAATCTACACCTAATTCCAGGTTTAAAACGATATCAATATATTAATCATATATCATACATAATTCAGACTGTTCTCATAATTCACAATTAATTTTTTTTTCAAAATTATAAATTCTTTTATTACCATAACATTTCAATTTTTGAACAATTACCCTATTTTTTTAAGTATCACTCAATCATATCTAGCATCAGTTCAAAAGATATATTCTTGATTAATAACTTTAAAATTAAATTTTGGAATGTACTATGAAAAAAAATGTTATTATAAATGTGGAAATTTTTGATCAATGATGATAAAAATATAACACATGGTACTATGTGTATATATTTTTCTCAAGTATAAAAGCCCATGATTAGACAATAAAGCCACTACAGGGATTATGAAGTCTATTTTTCCTCTACGTACTGTTGAACTTCTGTTTCTTTTGTCTCTCCACGGATGATTTTTATGGTAGCTGCCAAGTCCAGAACTCCCTGCTAAATTTTCCCCCCACGTGAAGCCTCTAGTGTCTGTTTAAATAAGAGAGATAAAATATAGCATGTAGAAATACAACATTACAAATTTCACAGCTAAACTTACAAAACAATCAATATGTGTGTGTGTGGAATAGATATTTCCTACCTAAAACAACAACTTTTGTCATCTGAGAGTTTTGCCTTATTTCTAAATTACAAGATTCCCTCAAGTGGGATTTATAAACATAATCAATGATTATCTTTCTTCTCTCAATTTTCAGATTTTTTTTCTACATTGTATATCAGCACTACCATGTGTCTTATAAATAGCTTAAATACATAAATACAATGTATATCTACAGTATGTTTCTAAACTCTGCATCTTTAGGACTGTATACAACTGTATACCCGCCTATAAGTTGGAATTTTGGACAAAACTCGATGTCTGATTTATTAATGAGTCCTAAAAAACATGGGTTTTTTTTCTGGAAGAGAAATATCGTTATCTTAAAACTCCAACTACAATCATTCATACAGGTCTGAACTTAATGCAATATGTATCTACACTATGTACCTACACTGTGTATCTACAGTGTGTATCTACAGTATGTACATGTAAACTTAGCAGGCATAGTACATATCTACACTACATATTTAGTACACAATTTATCTATGTAATATATCTATAGTATGAAAAACATCACAATATAGATAATACATGTACTGTGAACATTTGAATTTCAGAAAAAGATACACAAAAGCTGTTTTTAGAAAATCGTGAAAAAAAAATTGTTGTGCTGAAAAACATATTAGTTATTACACTGCAACATTAACAGGCCTATGATATCACAGATGAAGAAAGAATTTAAAGATAATGTTTCTGATGTCTTCACAAGATACAAAAGAATTCTCACCTGTTGTCTCAGAGGTCTTTCATGTGTCTTACATCAATAGTAAAAAGACAAAAGACAAATAATTCAGAAACAGAAATCCTTACCTTCTTCTTTTGCTCCTTTGAGAAATGCCCCAATGGCACCCAAGTATCCTTCATGTCGAAGAAACAAGGCTTGTATTTCACCCTGGTTATAATAATTGAAAAAGAAATACATCAATAAAATTAATACAATGTACAGTTCCTTAATAAATTTTTTGCATAATGCACATAATTTTTACTCATTGCTTTCATAAAATGATAGGCTTAAGTGAACCTTTCTGATTGAACTTTATCCATTGTCCATCTTTTTTCTGTCTCTTTAATTAACTTTTTTCACATTCTTAACTTCTCCAGATTCAGCCAAATTTAACCAAACTTGGCACAAAGTGTCTGTAGGTAAAGGGGATTCAAGACTGTTCACATGAAAGTCCATTTCCCCTTCCACAAGAACATACATGTAATTAATATTAGTGACAGAAACGTGGTGGAAAAACATAACAATCTACTGAAGAACTTCTGAGCTTAAAAATAAAAACAAACTACAGGAAAACCTTCCTAAAAAACCTAAAGAAAAATGAAGAACAAATGGTGTATATGTCAGATGAATAAGTAAACATCTGGAGGCTGAGTCAATTCAAGCTTGTACATACTTGGGTGGAATTTATTATAAACAGGCAAAAATTATGTAGAATTAACTTTATTCAATTCATGGTCCTTAAGTATAGGGTTGGGCACAGTTGGGGGATATTCTTTTCAGAGAAAAGTTGAGTAACAATTACTCAGATACCGTGTATTATGTTTACATCCCTTTTAAGGATACACCAAAGGCTTTTTTCAAGATTTTCAACAATTTTGAGATTTTTGGCTAAGAAAAAGAAGTTAATCACTGCTTTATAATGCATGTAAAATTCTTGGTAATTATGAAATGGTTTTCTAATTATTTAACAATAATGAAACATAAACACTACCACATGTGAATATTCCGTTATTGAAGCTTCTGATTTGATCTGTGACTGCCTGCTCATGAGAGACGCAATAAATCACTGTGGCCACTTGGGGAATTCTTCACTAGCCACACAGAGGTTATCAGTAATTAAACTACAGGGACTCTAGATTTAGAGAAAGAGATCTAACAGATCACTGATGACCATAAAATAGGAGGTGGAGCTTAGCTCTTGCCATTTTGCCGGGAAATCTTTCAGATTCAGAATTTAACCTATTTTACTTAATTAAAAGCATCAAAATACAGAAAAGAATCTCCCATTCTTGTGAATATGCATAGGAAATATGGCTAAGTGACAGGTATCCAAAGCTGAATCTCCAAGGTGTCATATATTCCTAGCTTTGGCAGATTTTGTTGTGTAATGGGTTTTTGCCCTCTACTGTAAAGTAAGATCAGACAGTTTGTGGTATTATTTCAAAGGATTCAGCTCCCTTATTTATTGACCAATTTCTCTGAAAATTGGATGGGTTGCTTCTCAAATGTGTGTTCACAAAACCGTATCTCAGATTTTTTATATCTAGCTTAGTTTTGGAATTATTGAGGGAAATGTTAAATTAGGCCAATAAATTGGTAACATTGAAGTGCAAATGGCTGTAACTTTTGAATTAGAAGATCTATCAACCAGAAGTCTCTGATGAGACTGTAGCTCTACTGGTTGTATTTATAAAGGAAGATAAAAGTAGCACTTGGACTTGAAACTTTGCAACAGCAATAAATAGAATAATGATCCTTGGTTTAGTCTCTTTTTGGCAAGATTTATTATTATATCAGACTAAAACTGTAGGAGGAGTAGCCTTTTAAAACAATTTTACTGAAATTTTGATTTAAAGTAACCATGGAAACATCATTCAACAAAATCAAAAAACAATAACACCAATTATGTATCTCTGTAGTCTACTTGTATGCCACATTATTCTGAAATCAGACAAAAAGTGTAGGAGGAGTAGCGTTTTGAAAGTATTTCAAGAAAATGTCTATTTTTAGTAACCATGGCAACACCATTCATCAAAATCCGAAACTGGTACAGAGAATTATGTATCTTAGTGTAGTTTACTTGTATGCTAAGTAATACTAAAATCAGACCAAAACTGTAGGGGTAGCATTTTGAAGGTATTTCAAGGAAATTTCTATTTTTAGTAACCATGGCAACATCGTTCATCGAAATCAAAAACCGATAAACAGAATTATGTATCTTATTATAGTCTACTTGTGTGCCAAGTTATATTGAAATCAGATCAAAACTGTAAGAGGAGTAGCATTTTGAAAGTATTTCACAGAAATTTCTATTTTTAGTAACCATGGCAACACCGTTCATTGAAATCAAAAACCGATACACAGAATTATGCATCTTAGTATAGTCTACTTGTGTGCCAAGTTATATTGAAATCAGATCAAAACTGTAGGAGGAGTAGCATTTTGAATGTTTTTCACAGAAATTTCTATTTTTAGTAACCATGGCAACACCGTTCATCGAAATCAAAAACCGATACACAGAATTATGTATCTTAGTGTAGTCTACTTGTGTGCCAAGTTATATTGAAATCAGACCAAAACTGTAGGAGGAGTAGCATTTTGAATGTTTTTCACAGAAATTTCTATTTTTAGTAACCATGGCAACACTGTTCATCGAAATCAAAAACCGATACACAGAATTATGCATCTTTGTATAGCCTACTTGTGTGCCAAGTTATATTGAAATCAGATCAAAACTGTAGGAGGAGTAGCATTTTGAATGTTTTTCACAGAAATTTCTATTTTTAGTAACCATGGCAACATCGTTCATCGAAATCAAAAACCGATACACAGAATTATGCATCTTAGTATAGTCTACTTGTGTGCCAAGTTATACTGAAATCAGATCAAAACTGTAGGAGGAGTAGCATTTTGAATGTTTTTCACAGAAATTTCTATTTTTAGTAACCATGGCAACACCGTTCATCGAAATCAAAAACCGATACACAGAATTATGTATCTTAGTATAGTCTACTTGTGTGCCAAGTTATATTGAAATCAGATCAAAACTGTAGGAGGAGTAGCATTTTGAAAAATTGTTTACAGACGGACGGACAGACAGACAGACAGACAGACAGACAGACGGACGGACGGACGACGGACACATTACTATCGCATAAGCTCTTCTGGTCTCTGACCAGTAGAGCTAAAAATCTGAGATACGGTTTTTAAGTTCAATCTTTAATCTATCTTGAGGCAAAATGACCACTTTGAGGGGTTAAATACAAAAAAGTTGATTTATAAAATATTTATGCACTAAAATTTACATTAATATTTAAATAATTTTTAAATAATTTATTAATTAAAGTTTTAATTAGGATAATTAAATAGTGAATTTAACAAGCTTTCAAATGATATATACTTTTATTATGTTATCTTTGATAATGAAAGAATTACATGCAAATTAAATTCTGGCATTTGGAAACCTTTGGTGTATCCTTAACATGAACCTAAACATTTATTATAAATGTACTTGAAATTAATCATAAATAAGGATAGAATATATCACATTAATTCCTGATTGTGCTAATCAACTTTTCTGTATATATTTTGAAAATGCTAAAACATGCATGGGTACATTCTCTGCTTTTTTCCTGGTCCTTGTTTGCAAATACTAGTATAACTATTAGTGATGGGATGGTATAATATATGTATTCACATTCTTGGCTACTCTATATTGTTGATGGTAATCTGAATAGTGCTGACCTTTGACCAATAGTTAATGGCATAGGAGATTGTATGCATGGTCAGTGGATGACCCCTTATGAAGTAGCCGCCAAAGTAGATTTTGTTGAGACCGTGTAGTTTAGCCTGGAGGTAGGCTATCTGTCCTACATCATTACTGATGGATAGAAGAAGACTCCGAGCTATGTCTGCCTCCTTAAAATGGGTCTCTGTGTCCACTGCAATTTAAAATTAAAGTTTTGCAGTTGTAAAATTAATAATAATAGATTACTTTGATAGTAATTTAATTATCAATAACAATTCTTAGGCCTTAATTTGGTTTGGCATGTGATATGACTAGAGGGAATGAAATCCAACTTTTGTTTTTATTTTGTAAATGAAATGAATGACTGTTTTGTTTAATTATATGTTATACATTATTTTCTATAACTCTTGATATCAACTTGCAAATTCACTACAAAGACAAACCTTGCAAATGTCAACACACCTGACTTTTTGGGTGACCTAGCTGCCTTTCCAAAACTGCTGGCTATAATGTCCCCAGTCAGACCTATAGAGGAATAAGCACCCCCATAAATGTCCTTAACCAGCATGTCCACTTCCCTGTGGTCACCTTGTTCAGCCAGCTCCAGAAGTTCATCAAATGTCTAGATATATGTAATAAAATTGCCAGATTCAGTGTAGATATCAAAACTCATTGATGAATGCACGATGATTTAATCTCGTGTAATGTTTGTTTAAGTTTTGAGAATCTAATTCAAACATCAGATATTTCTCTGGATTGTTTACCTTGGCTTTGGTAAGAAGTGAGCCCAGGCCCCAGAATGTACCTCCACCAGTGGAGGTTCCCCCAATTCTCTGGTATGTATCTTCTGATTCCACCTGGTCAATGTCAATAATGTAAACATCACTTTGTTCACACAAAAAATGCATACTACAATTTACATTAATACAAGTACTCACTTTGATTAGACTAACTCCTGACCCTATATTCACTAAAAGATATGGAAATATATCTCTGCTAACTCCCTGAAACTTGTACATTGACTCAGCATGTCTTTGGTATAGGAAGGCCTCATCGGGGATATTCTTTAGCAAGAAATTACAGCCTTCTATCAAACAGGACATTTCATCCTCCTTCTCTATCCTACAATGATATGTTCTAATCAGTTCTTTAAATCATAGAATTTTAGAGCCCACTTAATTTAGTTTTAATTTAATTTCATATAGCCTCTGAATTTGTTTATCAAACTGAATCCACATTAACGAGTGCTTGACAACTTGGACCCATACAGGACCTTTCTTTAGATAGCTACATTTTTTACCTCTTGACCTTGACCTTACAGTTTGACTTGCATTTGAGAAACTTTAACCTCGGCAAGTTGTCCAATGGGGCCATCACACTCTCACAAACACATCTTGTTCTTATATATTCCTATGTAAAATTTTGATTGCCCATTGCGGGCCAACCCTTCCACAGGATGTCATACCATATTCATAGACATTCAATAAAATGCCAAGATATATATTGAACGCTAAAATTTTCTAGACTGTTAGTAGATTTTTAAATATGTATAAATTAAAGATGTTATATTGAACACTCTCAGGACAGATGCTGATATTAGGCCAAACAAAAAAATATGTGTGGTTCCGGTTACACCTCCAAAAGAATTAGGGTAGGTAGGTAGGGATTTTTTTTTTTTTTTTTTTTTTTTTTTTAACAAAGTGATTTTCTTAATTTTTCTAAATAATACTTATCACTACTTTGCAAATGACATTTAGATGTGGTGTGATAATATACTAGTCAATATTGGTAGGGGACACCTACATGCTAGCTTGCTTTGGATTTAACACTAATAAACACTTGCACTATGTTGTGCAAGGGGGCCGTCATTGCTGAAACTAAAACTTAAACCAGAGCCATTGATGGAAATTGGGGAAAATTCCAGAAAAAATATGAAAATTGCCAAAAAAAAGTTTAGGGTCGGGGGTATAAAATAGGGACGGTCGGGTAACCAGAACCACACATATTTTTTTATTTGGCCTTACACACTTTTAATGTTAATACATGTACTGGTATCAAATAATTCTCATCAATTTTGAGATATTTCATTTGAATAATTAATACACATCTAAGGGAAATGTTTTTAGCTAGTTTATAATAATCCATATTGCTTTGTGTCAAGTTGGTTTAAATTTACCCTGTGGTTCTGAACTTAAACAAACAATATAGACATAATAGATAAACTGTGTGATTAGAAACCTCACCTGAGCCTTAAGCTTAGATGAGATTAACCATTTATAAAACAAGGCAATCAGTTTCTACCACTGAATCTACTTATTTTGAATTTTAATTTTAAACTTACACCACTCCTAGCTTAGAGGCCAAGAGGTCCCTGTATTTGTGAGCACCACCTCCTGTGACATGAATAGTTTTGTTCTGTTTGAGGGAGTCTCCAAGCTTCTCTTGGATAAAATCCAGACAGGACTCAATAAATTTTGTCTCAAACTTCACAAAATGGAGTCTATCAATATACTCATCCTCTTCACACACTTCATAAATATGCTGACCAGGACTGCCATCTAAAGTCTAGAATACAGTGCAGAAAGGAAATTAGGAGTGAATTGTTTTGCTTGACACCCCCAACTTACTACGTAAAGAGTGCACTAAGATGTATTTTTAGATCAGATACTAAATTTATCTAATTTTCTCTAAATTTACCTAATTTATACAACATGTACAATGAGGAAAAATGTCCACATAAACAAAATATAGAAGAAAGTACTTATCAAAAGAAATTAATATACTTAAACTGAATTATGAAAATCAGTTTGAATTACAATGCATTACTAATTAACAAAAGAACATACTTCATTTCTATCCAGAACTTGTGACATTCGCCTGTGGATTCTGGAGCAGTAAGCTAACTTTGCCAGGGAACCTCCTTATAAAAATATAAGAATGCACATCTGATATACAGATTAGTCATTTAGTAAAAGTTACATACTGATACATTTTTTCTTCTTCAAATATTACATGTACTTAGACTCAAAGAAGGCATGTGATTCAAAAACATTCTCTAACAATTCAATTTCTCAAGATAAAAAGTCAAAATATTTTGAACTCTTTTTGAAAGTATGGAACCAATGCCAGAGAGTATTATCATGATCATGCAACATATCAACATGCAGTCAAATCTCAAACATGATGAAACTGTTGGAAAATATTTGAATTATTCCACTGCTAAAGATATCAATTTTAACTGCATGTTACAAATCATACAGAGATAATTTCTTCCCATAACACTCATAGCCATGGGAAACTGACAAATAAAGTTGACTGTGACCATTCATTTTATAGTAATGTAGAAAAATTATACAATGTCAACAAGAATTGTTTGCCCAAAAACACTATAACCTGGATATATTTTATGAATTCTTAGTACAATTCAATTCAAACCAATTGATTATTCTGTCACTGTAATCAATTTTTCATGGCATTTATGTGGATCAGTGAAAGTACTGGTTAATAATAATGTGTCAATTAAGGAATCACTGTCTAGTTAGTAGAGTATCCCAGGGCATCAACGATAGTTGGAAACGTGGGATAATTTATCCCACGTTTCCAACTATCGTTGATGTCCCTGGCATACTCTACTAACTAGACGGTGATTCCTTATATTTCCATTTCATTGTGAAATAAAATTGTAAATTAGATTTTAAAAATGTAGACTAATAGATTTAAATTACATGAGGCCTCACATGTCAATTTCAATAGTCCTCGCCCACTGACATCAAACACAAAGACAGCCGCACGAGAATTACATGCATATTAGGCCTGCTTAGCTCCTGACCTTTCGCTTGGCGAAATTTGCATTCCGGTGGAATGATCAAGAAATCAACTCTCCTAACTTTCAAAGAATTATCACAGAGAAACAAATAGAAATGGAAATATATATAAATATTATACTATATGTACAGATTTTTGGGTAGTATTTTGAGTCCATGTGTTTTAAATTAAATAACTTACCAATATCTACTGCCAGACTTCTAGCATTGTTCAGGTTTCTAAAGATCTGTTCATTTGGAAGGTTAATACTCCTGGCATATGAATTCTCTGTCATTCTGATTGTGTTCAAGAAGGGAAAATCATCAGCTTTGTTCTTTTTTTCATTTAAATCTGAAAGGTATCAAAAGATCTAAACAAAGAAAAGTTCTGCTATTATCATTAAGATCGTAGAATCTGTGTATTTTTAATAATCTAAACACAGGGGCTTGCTACTGGAATATAAAATAAATATTAATTATAAACAATACGGTACTTGGCCTACATGTATATATTTTATTAATATTGTTGACATTCCAGGAACAAAATTGTGATCTACAGACGGTGGACAAAAGTATTAGAATGATTTACGACATCTTCTGTTTGCAGAAAAAAAATTGTATTTAATTGGATGCTAAAAGTATCGATATTTGGTAAAGACTCCTAAAACAACTCCTAAAATAAATTGCTACCATTAGAGGAGACGATTTTGCGTCTGTTATTTGGTTGTCTTCCATGAATGTTTTATTAGTCCTAGAATGACGAACTGGTGTGTTATCATCCTGAAATATTAAATTATTGTCAGGAAAGTGTTTTGCTATTACCAGCCAAAGATCATTGCCTATAATTTGAATATATTTTATTGAATTTATGTTCCCCTCCATATGTGTTAATGTCCTAGCCCCACGATAGGAGATGCAACCCCAACCCATCACAGTAAGTTTCTTGTTTTTTACAGGTGATATAAGTTCTGGTCTCATCACATTTCTCCAGATATCAATACAAATAACAATTTGACTCTCATCTGAAAATATTATTCTTTTCCATGTTAATCTTCACTGCCTCACAGTTCACTGGTACACACACTGACTATATTTCTGATTCTTTAGAAATCATCACACTGTCTTTTTAGACACATTTATGTTTTTAGTTTAAAAAAAAATAACTATTTGTAATATCCACAAGTGAGGTTTTCTTTCTAGCCTTCACTTCTCGTAAAATTTTTCTTCCGTCACAATCTCTGAGACTTTCCAAAGTACACAGGTACAATCTAACTTTGGTAGAAGTTTTCATTATTGTTTGGAGATGTTTCTACTTACTTTAGATAATTATGTTAATTGTCAGTGTAACAAGGGAATTAGTAGTCATCATAATAAAAATAACTTAAATGTAAACTCTCAAATCGTACCTACACAACAAAACTTGTAAATTAAGCAAAACTTGGCATTCTTGCATATCGCAAAGTAAGTCGTTCCGATTCTTTTGTCCACAGTCTGTAACTATGTCTCAGAGAAGGCCCTTACTAAAATAGCATCATTACAAATACAATAAAAAATTCTATAAGAACGCACGATATACATTACGTTCAACAGAGTGGCTTTCTTCCGGACTGTAAAAATGTTTATTTAAAAAAATCATATACAAACAACTGAAACACAAAAAATTGGTATTTGATTTTCAAAAAAAAAAAAAAAATTTTTTTTTTTTTTACACTCGGGGGGCAAGTCCCTGTGTTATAAAATATTTACTATAATTTAGGCAATGTAGCTGACTGAATATTTTCTGCGTATCAATCATATACAAGCTCACACTTAGCAACAGCATACCTCATCATAATACTACTATCGTACTGGGCAAAGTTATTGGTTTTCAGCAAACATTAACAACTAAACAGGCATTTATCTTCGGTGATTTACAGTTTCAAGTTTGTTTATGACTGTTGAGCCATACAGAATCCCGAGCCCGAATTGAAAAAAAAAGTTAGACAAGGCAAAAGAATATGGGCGCATGTGACATGGATTCGGCAGGAGTGTTAACGTCCCTGAAAAGTAAAATTTCCTTCGATCCTTCAAATGAACATTATAAACAAGGTTCCTTTGAAGGTTCCTTAGAAAAGAAAAATATTTTCTTAATATTAAAGGTTATGTCTGTGAGTTTTAACTCAACAAAACGAGCAAACATTTGTAAAAAAGGAAAAAAAAATGGAGAAGATCCAGACCATAAATATTAACTTTTTCAAAAATTCATATTGTATTTATTGTTTTAAAACTTAGTTAAAGTATGTTGCGCCTATAGCATAGCGGTATGTTATCCGTCTCTAACAGTGAGGAATATAATTTTTTTCTGGAAGATTTACTATCAATATTTTTTAAGCTAAGATTTTGTCAGTTTGATTTAATTTATTGATTAATTTATATAGGGTATTAAGTATTGAACAATTGAAGTTATTCAACACTAACTTGAAGGATCAAGGAAGAAAACACAATGGGATTAAAAAGGAGAAAAAGAGGAGGTCTTGACATCGTCCAAGACCTGAGAATTGGTGGACAAAAGACGTAAAACAATGAGGAAATATTAGCATCAAAGTCAGCCAGATTGAAATTTCAACTAAAAGTAACATAGTAAGAACAATAAAGAAAGAAAAGTGCATCGATGGACAAAAAGGACTATGTTAACACACAAGCACACGATGCAGAGGAGACCGCAACAAACAAGACACGGTGACCTTATACCGCATCTCAGAAACACTGAATGGAGGATTCAGAAGCACAGATACAACAGATGCGTAAACAAGATTGACATTTTGCCAATTAAATAGAAAAAGGCTTACCTATTGGGGAAATCACTTCGACTCGACAGTACCTAAATATCGAACATCTGAAAAATCCTCCTCATACATGTTCATTTTCTTCTTCTCCCTTTAACTATAGTCCTGTTGAACACATCATTACTTGTGACATGAATATATACTAGTAGTTCATAATGAAGACTTAAAATCACTTATTATAAAATTGGCAATTAAGGTCAGACGACACGCTCCTCAATAATATATAATTTTCCCAAGAATTTGTCTTTGAAGTATTGCTACTTTAACAAGTTTCCTCACAAAAAATAGGTACTTTACCAGGCATTAGTGCAAGATACCAGAAGGTGGTGTTTCCGATATAACCCTTTTGGCAATCTTTTGAAATCTCGTGTTAAAGGGTTAAGGGGCAATATTAAAACCATCTACCATTCTGTCTTCTGTAATTAAGAAGTGAAAAAAAAAATTAAATGCACAATTAATATTTACCGGTCCCAGGTGACAAAACAGGTAACAAGTTCAAGTTCAAGTTCAATTTATTCACTCAAACCAATTAATGGTACATGAGGTTCTATGTACAATATATACAAAAACAATATACAAGATACACGTGAAATGGCGGAAATACATTCAAATTATAAAGTAACCAAAAAAAAAATAATAATAATTATGGAGGACAGACTTGTTCATATACCCTATCTATGTAGCTGCATAGTTTGATTAATACCTTGGAGTCAGCAGTTGACAACAATTCTGAGAATTTGTAGAAATTTGGTCTATTACAATATTTACCAGGTAAATAGAGGATATTCAATGTTTTGTAGATGAATATGGAATTTATTTCACGAGTGGGACAGGATTTTTTGATATTTTCACGAGTGCGAAGCACGAGTGAAAATATCAAAAAATCCTGTCTCACGAGTGAAATAAATTCCATATTCATCTACAAAACGTTGAATTTTCTGTTTATTACATTTTTTTTTTTATTTTCCCTTTGCCTCTGTCTTTTCTTAACACAGTGTCATAGGCTTGACGTCATAGTTGAGCGGTTGAGACGTTATAGTTTACCAGTTGTGCGATTCAAGACATTACATAGCATGGATTTTAGCAACATTTTTGGGAAGAAATTTGCAGGTTTAGCTCTATCAAGATGGTTGGTTACTATCTCTATCTTATGACAGGCCAGGAATTATTTTTAACTTACTTTGATATCCTTTCACACTGTGAGAGAATATCATTTTGATATCCTTTCACACTGTGAGAGAATATCACTTTTATTCAATAAATAAATCACAGTATTTCACTGTTGAAAATGTAATAAATACTTTTTTCTGCATTCTGAGAAAAATTGACATTCTAAAATATAGTGATACTCATCAGCTATTTGTCCATTATTACAGATATTACAGAGTCTATCATTTTTGGGAATTCCAAACCATCTCCCAGTCTCAACTGGGAGATGATGATTTGCTGTTCTTAATTTAATTAAAATTGTTCTAAATTTTTTAGGTAGAAAGTCTAAATATTTTTCAAATCCAAATTCTGTTTTGAAGATACTATACATATGACCTTTAGACGAATCGCGCATATCACTTTGCCATTTCTGTATGTACTGATCTTTAAGACGTTGTTCAACTATAATTTTTAGCCATTTTATATTTAAAAAGGCCTGTTCATTCCATATATTTGAGAAGCCACAAGTATCAAGTATATTCTTAATACATAAAATCCAAGGGTTCTTATGACTTCCTGAACAAAACTGTTCAAATAAATTCTTATATGTAACATAAACAATCTTATTTTCAGGGCTTCCCAGTAATTTTGCCCAATGTGATATCATTCTTATATACACCGTTATATACAAAGGGAATCGACCCGTTTCGCCATAAACTATATAACTAGGAGTACTACTTTTCAGATTAAAAATATATTTCAAAAACTTGAGATGGACGCGTTCAATTATTTCAATGTTCTCAAAACCCCATATCTCACATCCATACAAAAGTACTGGTGTGACAACTTTATCGAACAAATCAAGCTGGCAATCTACTGGTAAATTAAATTGTCTAATTTTTCGTATAGCACCATACATGGCTTTTTGAGCTTGCTCACATAAATGTTTTTTAGCCTTACAAAATGAACCGGATCGGGAAAATAGTATACCTAGGTATTTAAATTCATTCACAATTTCAATAACAGAATTATTGTAGTAGAATACATTTTTTACAGATGGACCTTTCGAAAAAATCATAATTTTTGTTTTGTCTACATTGACATTCAGTTTCCATTGTAAACAATACGAATGAAACTCATTAAGAGCGTGTTGCAAACCCTCAGCAGACTCAGACATCATAACTGTATCGTCAGCATAGAACAAAATAAATAATTTAAAATACAGCCAAAATTGGTTTTCTACAGTATTTGAACTGCTTGCATTAAAGGATAGCCCATGCACATTTTTACTAATGAGAAATTCTTCTAAATCATTAATATACATAGAAAACAAGAGAGGCGATAAATTTTCTCCTTGGCGTACACCAATGTTACAGTTGTAAAACTCAGATGAAAAACCATTCATAGTCACAAGGGACTTAACTCCATTATACATATTTTTTATAAATGTAAAACATTTACCACTAATGCCATTATTTAACAATTTGTACCAAAGCCCATTTCTCCACACCGTGTCGAATGCCTGTTTAAAGTCAACAAAAGCACAGAAAAGTTTCTTTTTGAAAGACATAACCATATTTGTAAGAAAATGTAAAGTCAGTATATTATCTAAGGTCGAATATCCTTTCCTGAAGCCGGTTTGACTTTCACTTATAAGGTTTAAATTCTCTACATAGCATTCCAAACGTTTACATAAAATGGAGGTAAAAAGCTTACCAAGACAACTTAAAAGTGTTATTGGACGATAATTTTCTGGATTTGTTGGGTCGCCTTTATTTTTGAAAATCGGTTTGACAATACCTGTGAGCCATTCGTCTGGAATGACTCCACTATCAAAAATCAAATTAAACATTTTTTTGTATACAGGCAAAAAAATAGATACTGTTGATGAAATATGTTCGTTTAACAATTGATCGTAGCCTGCGGCCTTATTATTTTTCAATTTTTTTACTGCAAATAAAATTTCTTCCTCACTAATCTCAAAGTTCAAAAAATCATCACATTCATGGCTGTCTGTTGAGAACCTTAAAGTATCACCATCTTCTACGTCATTATCATAACCTTCATTGATGCCCTTAAGAAAATCATACATAGCATTAATATCTACAGCACATTTATTTGACATATTTGGACCATTTAAAATTTTCCAGTAATCTCGAGTATTTGTAGAGCGTAGTGATTTCAAGTTTTTTGTCATGCCTTTTCTATAATCTTTTATACATGAATCCAGTATCTTTTTATAGCTTTTGCTTTCTAATTGAAGATTAGCTTTATTTTCTAAACAAGAATTTTTACTATTTAATCGCTTTGCTAAATGATATTTCTTTCTAGCCGTTTTGCACTCTTTATTGAACCAGGGTTTATCGCATTTGTTTTTACAATTATTTATCTTAAAATTTCGACTGAACCCAAATGTTGATTTAGCTGTGTTTAAAAATATACCACATAGCTTATTAGTAACATCATTTATAGTGTCTTTACTAATGTTGTTTGTTTCCGCACTACTGGTCAAAATATCTAACTCATTTTCTATGTCCTTGACCTTAGGTATATCCACATTCTCTGAAAAATGTTTTGCTTGATCTGGTGACCACAGTTTTACACGTGACTGATTTTCAACAATACCTTCACACCTGTGTTCTGTAAAAAAGGCTGGTAAGATAGAAAATGAAACAGGATTATGTACGTCCGAATACAAGTTACAGAAGTCAGTGATATCAAAATCTTGAATAATTTCAAACATAGGTGCTGTGGCAACCACATAATCCACTGTGCTACTACCTTTACAAGTTAAACCTCCTACATATTTGTCACTGCCAACACGGCCATTTACAATATAAATATCGTTGTTTTTGCAAAAATCAATCATTTTGTAACCAAAGTTATTAACATGGACATCTTGTACTACCCTATTGAGAGGAATCTTAAAGTTATC